TATATATATAGCACCTGTTGCCAGGCATCCTGGGTGCAGGGATACAGCAATAAACAAAATGAAACTCCCCCCCGGTCCTGGAATTTAGATTCTAGTTGAAATTTTTTTTTTTTTCTGACATGAATTTCCTCTTTCTTTACCCTGTTTTATTTTTCTCTTTTCTTCTTTTCCTCTCAGGCCAACTGGAAAATGAATGTTTATTTTAAAGCTCTGTATGAAAAATATTGGCCTTTTATAAGAAAATAATATTCATCTAGAAGATAAATTAAGAAAGCATCAAATTAAGAAAATTTGTTAATATTATGCCTCCGTTATGCCTGGAAAAGTCTAGTCAAAGCTTAAATGGCTGCTTTGTGGGGATGCTGTTTATATGTGCTGACTCTCATTTGCACTGACTAGAGTCGCAAGATACCTGCAAAGACACTTTTTAAAAACTTGAATTTGGCTTGACAGTGAGTAAGCCCAGCTTTCTGTGTCTCTCCCCAGATCCAGTCCCTGTCAGGGCGCCCTCGATCCTGTGGTGTCAGAGGTGGCAGGTAAGTAAATGTTCTTTCAGTTCTTGGCTCGGAGGGCATCCTGAAGGTTTTCCCAAAAGGAAAGTCTTACTGCTTCATCAGAGAACTCTTGAGAAATTTCACTTGTTATACATAAGTTGAAAGTCAACTGTATTTTCACAAAACAACAGCTCCCTTTTGGTACTCATATATCATTTAAAGTAATTATATTACATAATTGCAATAACAAATAAAACCGCCATAAATATATTAGAGAATAACACAGCTGACTCTCAGTAAACACACAACTCCACGGGTAGAAGCAGAAGCGTGCCCGCATTGAGAGGGGCCCACCAGCCTCGCACCTTTGGCAGCTGTGGGCCCCTGGCAACTTGCTGACACAGAAGTTAACTAAGAGAGTTTGTACAAATGTACTGAATGCCACAGAACCATACACTTAAAAGGGATAAATTTTATGTTATGGATGTTTTACCACAATTTTTTTAAATTAATGGAAGTTGCATAAATAGGAAAATTTGCAATATAAAAAGAATTTCTATGGAACAATTAATTAACGTATTTAGGAGTATACAACTTTACTCCATGAAAGATTTGAGACAGCTTTCAAAAATATGTGTAGTACCAAAAGATTAAGATGTTCTTGAGGAAATTGGGACCAAGGAAGAACACGGAGACGACAGTTAAGGAAGCCCACACGTTGACAGACACTGTGAAGACGCAAAGACAGAGCCCATCAGTGCCATCACTTGAGTGACACAGACGCTGGGTGACTCTCGCACGGGTCTTCGCAGAGAGGACCGAGCCCTTGGGACGCACGGTGGTGTCCCTGAGAGCACCGGGGGAGCCACCTGGGACTGTTGACCACAGCATCCCTCAGGGCTGCCCCGCGGGCTTGGAACCAAAACCCGCTCAGAAGCGGCAGCTCTTTCCGGGGCCAGGATCATGTGGCTTGAAATCAGGACCCTTGCCTGATCTAGCTGAGTACAAGCACGCATTTCAGAGGGTCTGCAGAGGAACTAAATCTATATCAGGCCGTCCTATTTATCATTCCCCCCAGTAAAGCCTTCTCTGGGTATCTAACTGCAGTTAGTTCAGGGCACTCCATACTCGGTAGCTGGAGTGCAGGCATTCTTTTTGGCTAGTTAAATATAAACGCATGTAATTAACAGCCCGCTGAGCCGAGATGATCGGAAATTCTAAAAGCCAGCCAGGACACATGCCTGGAGAGAAGACCAGCACCCCTAGAGGTGTAGGATGTCCCCACAGATAGGGCTGAGATTCTTCTCAAGAGCGCATTTTGGCTCAATCCTCAGACAAATGAGTGATGGAGGCCCTTAAGGCCTACATTTCAGAAGGGGGCTACAGTACTTTAAACCCCTTGTCCCCACCCCCAAGAATCTTGAAAGAGCTGTTTCTTAGATAAGGAAAGTTGCTTTCTTGTTCTTATGTTAGAGAGAGAATTCTATTCAGTGATTCCTATTCATTCAGGTATTGATTGACCCCCTAATTCTAGGCACTGGGGTAGAGCAGTGAACAAAACAGATCAAGTCTCTGCTTTCAAGGAGCTAATGCTCTAGTGGAGCGAAATAGGCAAAAACAATTAAGCAAATAAATATACATCATGCGTTGGTAAATGCAGTGAAGAAAAAGCACAGTGAGGAGAGAGGCAATGATGGGTGTCTGGGATAAGATGATATGTCACCAGAACCTGGATAAAGGCGAGGGAAGGGCAGAGGGGACAGCAAGTCCCTGAGTGCAAAGACCCTGAGGCGGGAGCACGCCTGCAGGGTATGGAGGCTGGTGTAGCCTGACTCAGAGTAAGGTCAGAATCATCAGAGGGTTTTGAATGAGGGAGAACATAATCTGCCTTATATCTCAGATCCAGGAGATGACTCCAGCAGGTCGCAACTATATTTGGAAAGTTACAACTTGTATTCCTCTCAATTGGAGAGAAATTGTTTTGAATGTCACTGATGACCTGGGTCGTGTTTGTCACAGTTACCCTCTCCATCCTTGCTCTGTGCCCCCAGACGCTGTTCAGCCTTCCCCCGCCTCCTCTGCCTTCATTCCGACCTAAACACCCATGGAGCTTTCTTCTCTCAATCAGAGAGCCCATCTGCCCTCATAGCAAGCAGCTCTGGGTTCTCAAGTTTATTTCCTAGTCCTTGGCCTTAACACTGCAACCAGCCATCCGAGAGACAAAGTATCACATTCAGTTTTTCTACAACCAAAATCATCCTTCTTCCTCATCCATCAAATCGGACACCTATTCTGCTTCCCCATTTCTTTTCAAGCCTCCACAGTTATCCCAGTCCTACTTTTACTAAGAAAAGAGAGACCATCAGGAATGAATGCTCAGCTTCCCTCCCACCCCTACTGCCCCCCTCGCCATCCATTTTTGTTTCTAGTCTTAGGGACACAGGTGTCCCTCTGTTCAAGACTGATAGCCTCACCCATGTCCTTGACCCTTCCTGAGGCCTCTCTCTCCGGCTTGTCTTTCCCTCTTCTATGTTTTCAGCCTTTCCCTCTCTACAAGGTTTTCTCTCTGCGTTTAAATATACTTAAGGATTCTGCACTAAAAAGTCCTTCCGTGACCCTGCATTCCCTTTTAGTTACTTCCTTCTCATTTCCAGAATTTTCAGCCACACTTTCTGAAAGAGTATTTACTCTCGAGGCCCCCTCACTGCTTGTCTATTCCTCAACCCACTGTGGCCGGGCTTCCACCCCCACTGTTTCGATGGAGCTGTCCTCAGGAGACATCCCATGACAGGTCCTCCCGTATTACAGAAACTCAGTGTCTAAAACAGAATTCATTGTCTGACCCCACCACCTACCCTTATCCCCAGTCTACTGGTGTACCTCCGTGTTCCCTGTCCTGGTAGGGGTGGTTCCACTGGTCCCCATGGCAGAAAATCGGGAGTCACTCTTGAGTACTTGCTTAAATATCTCCAGAAGCCCTCCCTGTCTCTCCACCTCCATGCCCTCATTATGTCTAGTCTGACTTTTCAGCAGCAGCATAACTCACCTCTCTGCCTCCAGGCTCTGCTCCTCACACCCTGTCCTCCCTACCCCAAGTCTGTCCTAAGAATGATGATGTCTTTTCCCTGCTCTCAACCTTCCACTGGCTTCTTGTCATCAACGCGTCAGTTTAAGCCTCATGTGCTTTCTGCCTCCTCCTCCAGGCCCATCTCCCATCATATCCACCCCTCCTAAACTTGACCTTCCTGTGGCAGCTAAGTTCCTAGGGCACACAATATAGTCATGTGCCTCTCTGCTTTGCCGGTGCCAGGAGCTCTACCTGAAATGATTTCCCTGTTTAGAGCATCTGAATTCTCGAGCCTTCCAACTCAGTTCAGACGTCCTCCAGGAAGCCCCCTTCCAGCCTGCTGGTCATTCCCTCCATACCTTATACCATCAGGTTCTGTCACTGTACAGTAAGTCGCCTACACACGAACCTTCAAGTTGCAAGCTCTCAAAGATGTGAACGTGCGTTCACATGTCCAATCACGTAAGTTAGTTCACGTATCTGGTGTACATGGTCACGTGCATGCATCCTCTACAAGTGGTTGTGCTTTTGTGTTCTTTACAGTACTGTATAGAGTACAGTCCTACAGTGTCTTTACTTCAAGCCCAGCATGTCCGGAAGCAAGCGTAAAAGCAGTGGTATATAGCCAGTTGTGGTAGTTGGGTATCTAGGCTAACTTTGTTGGACTTACAAACAAATTGGACTTATGAACGTGCTCTCAGGACGGAACTCGTTCGTACGTAGGGGACTTACTGCACTACTGAATGGTATTATGTTGCAAGTTGTTTTCTTTATGGCTCTTTCTCTCTGCTCTGTCTGAGTCTCTTGAGGCCCTAATGCCAGTGGCTGGCACCCGGGAGGCGCTCTGCTGGCGTGTGCTGTATTGAGTCCGGTGTCCTCAATCGAATTCATAATCTCTCCCCGCCGCCCCATTCCTGGCTAACGGCACTTCCTCCAACCATTCTCCTTCTCTTAAGCCTCTCTGTTCTCTTCCTAGATCAGACCTGAACCACACAGGCGCTTCTGACTGGTTCCCCGCACCTCTCTTTCTGCCCCCTTAAGCCATCCTCCACGCTGCAACCACAGTGGCGTTTCTAAAATGTGATTCTGATGCTCCAGCTTAATCCTGGGCTCCCTGTCTCCTGCTGTCCCTGACCCAGACGCTTCAGAGCATCATGTCATTGTGCCCTTGTTTTCTCCCTTACCTGCCTCCTCCACCTCATCTCCTATCCCCTGTTCCCCACTCTGCCCCAATGCCTTGGCCATGCTGTGCTGCTTGCAGTTCCATGTGCACAGGGTCATGTGCTTGGTCAAGGCTTCCCTTCCCCACCCATCCTCACAACCCCAGCTCCTGCTTCTGCGTTCCCAGCGTCACTGGTATCAGACCTAGCCCAGCGAGCTTCCTGCCATACTGCAATCGCTTGCCTTACCGGTCTGTCTCTGGCCTGCCCGTGAGCTCTAAGAGCAGTACCCCCTCAGCCCGGGCCATGCAGCCCCTCCCTGGGCCCACACTTCAGAGGCTTCTGCTCCCGTGGAGTAAGGAGTCCAAGGAGCCACAGGGGATGCGGAGCTTGGCCAGAGCTGGCCCCTAGGCTGGGATATCCATAAGCGTGCCCTGCAGTGCAGAACAGGGCTGGGGGGAGAGACGGTGGCGTGGACTGAGGGTTGGGGCTGCCTCTCTGCACGTTCTAGTGGGGAGCTCCAAGGAGTCGGAGAATTCTAAACTTGAATCTGGCCTTCCAGGCTATTATAAAGGTACAATTTGTCAAGACAGAACATAATTCATTTAAAGATTTATAACTTTAAAAAATGTAAACTAGACGGTGTACTAGGCCTCCATTTGTACTCTTGCTCCAGGCCTGCACACACCCTGCTCATTCATCATCCCACTTCCAGCACGTAGCCCAGTGCCTGGGCACAGAGTGACCACCCAACACATTCTGACAAAGGAATGGTCACATCTCTTTCTCACTTTAAAGTTTATGAAAACTGTAATTGAAAAAATATATCTTGGAAGGCATCTGGTTGATACAGAGATACTTTTTTTTGGTAGGAAAGATAATTTAGCAATGTAGCAAAAGGAACTGAATAAATAAAAAGCAGTGCCTCACATTTTATATAGTGCTTTATAATTTTCAAAGTACTTTTGCATCAATAATCTACTCTTATCTCGGAAAATATTCCTGTAACATGGGCATCCTTAGTCCAACATACCAGGTAAGCAAATCGCACTTCAGAGAGGTTAAGCCAAGGATACAAGTTTTCAGAACAAGGAAGAGGCAGAGTCTACACGAGGACTTAGATCTTTGGTTCCAACTGCTTTTATTGAACAAGGAAAGTATCATACATGCCCTATTCCCCAGAGCAGCGGAATGCATTTTAGAAAGTAATACTTATCTTTCTTTTTTCAGCGCTTTTCCACACAGTGGTCAAAACATGGGCCTCTCACCCTTTCTGGGAACCCTGAACACTGGGGGATCGTTGCCAGATCTAACCAACCTCCACTACTCAGTGCCCCTGCCCGCCTCCCTGGACACCAGTGACCACCTCTTTGGTAGTATGAGTGTGGGGAACAGTGTGGGCAACCTTCCCGCTGCCATGACTCACCTGGGCATAAGAAGCTCTTCTGGTAAGTATTCCCCACTCCATAAGGACCTTGTCTGTGTCCCCTGGTGGCTTAACCATAGGTGGTACCTGGCCAGGTGGCATGTTAGTAAATCATAGAATGAGAATGACTGCATCTGAGTTAGAGATAATAACTCACTAGCTCTTGTAGCTCTCAACCCTGCTGACATTTCACTTCGGTGGTTCTATTTCTGCTGGATTTGATGAGCTCTGGAGAGCTCTGCGAAACCTCATTCTTTATTGTCTTCACCAGCCCGTGTGTCCTGGGGACTTGGAGAATAAGATTTAGAGTCAAGGAATAAGTGTCCATTCTATTCTGTGTTAGCTGAACAATGTTTGTAGCTCTTATCAACATATGGTGATCTTTAATCATTGCAAATATCTCTCTAGATCCCTCCAACTTCCCATTGGATTTCAAAAGAAAATATCTTGAATTTTAGAAAATTTACAATGGATACAAGGAAAATGTTTATACTTAATAGATATGTATATTAAATAGAAATCTACCACAGTTCAAAATTATTGGTTCAGATTTTTAGAAGTGCTTAAAGATGTAGCATCTAGCTGTACTAAAAAGCTACCCATAATGTGACTTGGCTGTTACTGTATGAGTTTGAGTGCCTGCAGCTCAGACCACATGTTGAAACATGACTACTTTTGTTTGAACCCTGACAGACACTCTTGTCAATGTCTAGGACAGGTATTACAGCCCCTGGCCGTAAGGGGTCTGGGAATGATGATGTAGACCATTTCCTTTAGAAAGGATCCTCAGTGATGGTCTGTCAGTGTGGTCACCTGGAAGGTTCTCTGATGATTACAGCAATGCTGCCATTGTGGTACATAATTTTAGGTTTGAAGAATTGATTTCAGAGACCATCTTTTTTTGTTGTTTTTTTGGCTGCGTTTGGGTCTTCATTGCCGCACGTGGGTTTTCCTCTAGTTGCGGCGAGCGGGGGCTACTCTTCTCTGCGGTGTATGGGCTTCTCATTGTGGTGGCTTCTCTTGTAGAACACGGGCTGTAGGCGCACAGGCTTCAGTAGTTGTGGCTCACGGGCTCTAGAGCGCAGGCTCAGTAGTTGTGGCACACGGGCTTAGTTGCTCCGCAGCATGTGGGATCCTCCCAGAGCAGGGCTCAAACCCATGTCCCCTGCAATGGCAGGTGTATTCTTAACCACTGCGCCACCAGGGAAGCCCCAGAGACCATCTTTATTTTGGGGTCTGTGGGGTCATTTTATTATATTGCTGCTTTACTTATGTGACCTTGGTGAAGTCTCTGAACAAGGACATCCAAGGTCACATGAGTAAAGCAGCATCGGCACTTAGCTCCCTTGGGTTTTGGGGAAGCTGGCATTCTCCAGTACAGCCTTTGACACTGCTTCAGCTGAAAATCCTGTGTTTAATTGCTGGCTCTTATTTTCCTCAAACAAGCATTATTTTGTCCAGAATGTGTCAGAACCAGTGCTTAAGTTTTTATAGTTTCTATGCGCTCCTTAAAAATTCATGGTACGCAAGGCTGCTCATACATTTTTAAAGATGTGTGTGCTTTCTTTCTGAATGGGTGGGTTTTTAAAAAGTCTAAATTCGTATCTTTAGCTCTAATTTTAATTCTTATCTGAGCCAGCTGTATCTCTGACCTTTCCATGGGGAGTTGAGCGGTCGAAGAGACATCGTTCCTACCTTTTAAAAATCACTTGCCAGCTAAAAATGCTTTATTTTGTCATTTCTTCATTTCCATAATTTTAATCTAATACTTAACTTTTTATCGACATGAAACAACACACAGTTCTGCTCACCCCAGCTGCTGGTACAGGAATAGTGGGCCGAGCTCTGAAAAATGGGGATCGCCCGCTGAGATGCACAGCAGCAGCAGCAGCATTCATTTATGGAGTGAAGCCACTCGGTCAGGCCCCAGGCCAGGTGCCAAAGAGTCAGCAGGGCATAGGACAGGGTCCCTGGCCTCCTGGAGCTTGTGCCCTTGCAGCATGTGTCATGGAAATGCCTTTCCCAAACTCTCTTTCTTTTGCTAAAATTCACACCCCTCCCCTTCAAATAAAACAAAGCACCAACAAAAACTTCCTTTTCCCTGAATTGGAGTAGACCGTGATGAACAACTTCTCAGGAGCCAGGAAAACAAAGAGAAAGGAGCCCTGGGGCGGAGACATGGGAGAGTGTCCCTTAGCTGCTGTGCTCAGGGTGTTTAAAGGGCCGGGTCCAGTGAGGCAGCTCCCCGAGAGCCACGAGTCTCAGTGAAGGCAGCTGAGGGTCCTGGCTGTGCGCCTGGGACAGAGGCTTCCAGGGGCCCTGCACGGAATTGGTTGTCCAGCCCTGCGGTCTGTTCCTTGGGTGGGAACAGAGTACACTGAACATTCTCCTCTGCTGCCCCCACCCCGCTTACCTAGTCCTGCTCTCCCAGTGTGATTTACACAGTCTCCTTGAGAAAAAGCCATTCTCATCTTGATGGCATCGTCCCTCTCAGTCTGAGTGTACCTTTTCTTTGCCGTTGGTACCATTTTCAGTAGGAGTGTTGCCCAGAGCTCCTTCTCATACAGAATCATCATCAAATACAAGTAGTAGGAAGTTGAGTCTTCTTTAATCTTTGGAAAACAGAAGATTTGGTCTGAAATTATGACAAGTAACTTGTGAATGTGTTGCCTTCTAGGTCTGCAGAGTTCTCGAAGCAACCCCTCCATCCAGGCCACGCTCAATAAGACAGCGCTTTCCTCTTCCCTAAACAGCCGCCCACAGGCATCTGCTCCCAACGCCTCTGCGCTTCACTCTTCGCTCCGCCTCTTCTCCCTTAGCAACCCGTCTCTTTCCACCACAAACCTGAGCGGCCCCTCCCGGCGTAGGCAGCCTCCCGTCAGCCCTCTCACGCTTTCTCCCGGCCCCGAAGCGCATCAAAGTTTCAGCAGACAGCTCTCTTCAACCAGCCCACTGAAGCCGTATCCTGCCTCGCAGGTAAAAGCAAACGAACAGCGAAACAGACTGAAGCAGTTAGGAATTGGATTAGGTCCTCACACCGAGCACTGTCTGGTGAGGTCTGAAATGTAGTCAGTTCTCACTTCTGTGAGAAATCAAATGATTCAGAATGCACTAATGATTTTCCAACAGATTTGTTGTGTTGATTGCTCTTAAGCAAACACTGAACAGTTTGCAGTACTCTGGTGAAGTTGGAGCTGGAGGGAAGGGTCGGGTGTAGAGGGCGCAATCCAGGCATGTCTGAAATAGCTAAGGGAAGCCAGGTTGGGATTTTAAATTTGGTATGGAAAATCAATAATTGACTCTATGAGCACTTTGAGCCACAGAGGAAAGCCAAGGAAGACATTTAAATACCTTCCTGAAGTTTTGATATTGGATTAGACCTCTTCCCTAATTACAACAACAGATTTCATCAACAATACTTCTATTGTTGATGAAATACTAGGTACAATAGGATCATATCTCTGTAAAAGGACCCAAATAAATCTGTTTAGAAAGAGGCACATTTTGAAGTCACAAGCCTGTTACAGAAATTTAGGGTGGGAAGGTCATGTTTTGACTTGTTGACTTTGTTTCTATTCTAAGTTCTTAGGGTGGCTCTTACTACCATCATGAATGAATATGTTTTTAACCTGTTGGTCACTCCCTAGATACATTATAACATCACTTACCACCTCACTATAAATGAGTAATGATTTAGCAAGAAAGAGTTGACAGAGCACAGCAGAAGGAGTTAGCAGGTCCAGTTATTAGTCACTCTTTACCAATTAGTAGCTACGGGATCTTTATTATGTGAGTAATCCCTTTCGGGAGAGGGTAAGAGGGTATTTCATAATTTTTTTTTTTAATGGTTATTTTCATGTTATTGGATTGCCTTTAATTCTATTTTGCACGATTATTTTATAGGATATAAAAATATTACTCCTGCTTTCTAGTTACATTTTAAGGAGAGATAAAAAGCATCCTTTTAAAGATATTTTCATTTTTTGTTTGTTTAATATTTTAAAAATATTTTTTACAAAATCAATGTTATTCGTGCACATAATTTAAAAAGTCAAATACTTCTAAAGGGCTTGTTGTGAAATTACAGTTTTCTTCCCCTCCCTCCCCGACTAGCCATATTTCTCACTGCCTGGAGATGGCTACTTTTGACCATCTTAGCTACTCTCTTTGGTATATCAGCATTATTTCATGCTTATTTTGTTCTAGATTTTTAGTGTTAGGTACTATCTAATGGCATCCTACCATGGAAGATTAGGGGTTAGTTCTCTTTCAGCTCCCCCAATCCCCTCACTCCCCACACGTATTTCCTACTCACCCTCCTCATCTTCACAATGTGGTTTATTATAGTTTTGATTAGAGCAATACTCAGTGTTTAGTGTTTTCATGGTTATAATAATGCAATCAGAGTTGAACCATAGTTTACTATAAAATAACAAAATGAGCATCTTTTTCTCCTGGGAGTTAATAAATGTCTTACTTTTTTTTTCTCTGTATGTATTACTTATTCAATCCCAAACTCTCAGGGTTGGGTAGATCTCCTCTCAATACAGTTAAAAATGAATCCTCTGGTAGCTTTACAAGAAAGAGTACATGTGACCTGGTGTGACTTCACTGTGTCTTCATTCTGCCCACCATTTAACTAATAATTGGCTAAGCACAGAATTCAAATTTTAAATAGTTTTCTCTTGAAATTTTGAAGGTATTAATCCATTGCCTTTTAGTTTCTAGAGTTGCTATTGAGAATTCCAATGACATTCTGATTCTTTTTTTTTTTTTCCATTCTGATTCTTAATGCTTTGAATTAAATCTCCTTTTTTTCCCCTCGGGAGGCTTGTGGTATCTTCTTTTTGTCCCTAGTGTTCTGAAACTTGAAGATAATGTGGCTTAATATGAGTCTGACTCTTTGGTGAGTTTCTTCAATCTGGAAACTCATTGCCTTCATTTCTGGGAAATTTTCCTTAATTATTTCTTCAACGATTTCTTCTCATCAGTTTTCTCTGTTTTCTCTTGAATGTATGAATATTGGATGTCATGTACTTTTCCTCTAACGTCTTATTTTTCTCTCCTCTTTTCTCTCTGTGTCTTTTTTCTCTTCTTTCTGGAAGAGTTTCTCACCATTATTTTCCACCCTTATGTTGAGGTTTTCATGTCTGCTCTCATACTTTTAAATTGCCAAGAATTTTTTTGTTCTTCTTCTCTGAATGTTCCTTTTTTATAGCATCATACTTATTCCATGGACGCCATATCATCTTTGATCTCTCTGAGGTTTTCAGTGGTAATTTTTATTCCGGTTTCTTTTATTTTTATTTTTTTGTAATACGAATTTTCCAAATTGCATAGAAGTAGAGAACATAATATAATGAATCCTCTATACCCATCATCTAGCCTCAACAATCATCAGCATTTTTATAATCTTGTTTTATCCATATTCTTACTTTTTTTATATATGTATATATTTTTTGGCTGTGCCGCACGGCACGTGGAGTCTAAGTTCCCCAACTAGGGATCGAGCCCACGCCCCTTGCATTGGAAGTGTGGAGTCTTAACCACTGGACCACCAGGGAAGTCCGCCATATCCCTACTTTAGAAAAATGTATATAGAGGTACATATTACAAATAGTTTAATATGTATTTCTAACAGATAAGGTTTTTGTTTTTTTTTTTTGCAGTACGCGGGCCTCTCACTGTTGTGGCCTCTCCCGTTGCGGAGCACAGGCTCCGGACGCGCAGGCTCAGTGGCCATGGCTCACGGGCCCAGCCACTCCGCGGCATGTGGGATGTTCCCGGACTGGGGCACGAACCCGTGTCCCCTGCATCGGCAGGCGGACTCTCAACCACTGTGCCACCAGGGAAGCCCCAGATAAGGATTTTTTAATAGCTCTAAATATTATAATGATAATGTTGTTTTTCATGACTACTTCTTCCTACATAGACTTCTCCAAGTTTCTTTTCTCAGTTTGTCTGCTTGGGTCTCTGACTTTCGTTCACATGCTTTCCTCATGGTCTGGTGATCCTTGGCACCCTGCTTGTGTTTATGAACAGGACAGACACACACAAAAACTGATTGGAAGCTCTGTGTAGGTGGGTAGGCTTGTTGAGTATGGTCTTCATGGTAGAGTGATCTAGCTCAGCCATTTCCTTGGGGAACCTCTGGTGTCATAAGTTGGATTTTCTCCCAGCCTGGTCAGATCCCCAAAGGATGCTATCCTGATCTTGCTCCTGGCATGTGCCTGTATCCCAGCACTCTTGAGAGCTGAGTTGGGAAAGAGAGGTGGAGGCCTCAAGATGCGATAGTGGGCTTTCTCATAAGCCCTGTGTTTTCAGGAGTGCCTCGCCTTCTAGGGTCTGGTGCACCCCATCCAGAGCCACTGAGCTGTACTCTCTCCAGAGCACAGCCCTCAGTCTCCTGCCACGCAAGGGCTCTGGAACCTAACTGCTGCCCACAAGCTCCTCCAGGTTTAGCTCCATCTTCACCCGCTGCTGCCTGCTGACCCAGTTCCAGACCCGTTTAGGGATTCTGTGATGTAAACCAGAGTGTCTCTTGATTTTCCCCACTGCCAGCTTAGCATTTGGCTTTCTCAGCTCTGCTCAGCAGGCTGCTACTTGTCCATCTGCTTTTCATTTTCCAAATTTTGTTGCCATTTTCTTCTTTCTCATTATCTTTGTCCTCGTGTTGTTACTTATCATTTCATGTTGTTTATGTTTTAGTGTTGTTTATTAATGTTTATGGTTGTTTAATGTGGTTTTAGGGGTTTTGGAGAGTTTTGGGAGACAGCAGAGCTAAATGCTTTTTTCAGCCTTCCATTTTTAACCAGAAGTTTTGGCTGTGAAAATACAAACCCGATTTTCACTGAGAAAACTGAGATGAAACTGGTTAAATTGGCTAGGTTTTGTTTTGTTTGTTTTTTAAGACAATAGAAATTGTCGTTGAATGGAAAATGTTTGGTGGGGAAGTGAGATTTGAGTTATACTTTGAAGGATACAGAACTGGGCTTCTCAGAGCATAGTATAGGCTATCAGGGTGAGGAAAATCTCAGGGTTTTTCCTCACTTTGACATTTCCTAATCATAAAGGACTTACTGCTAGAAACTCGGAAGCTAAGTAGTTGGTGGCTTTGTTTTTTAGATGGTGTCCTCAGATCGAAGCCCGCTCTCCTTCCTGCCCACAGAAGCTCAAGCCCAAGTGTCACCCCCGCCTCCTTACCCCACACCCCAGGACCTCCCCCAGCCTCTGCTGCAGCAGCCCCACGCCCAGGAGCCCACTGCTCAGCAGCCCCAAGCAGCCCCATCGCTGCCCCAGTCAGACTTCCAGCTCCTCGCGGCCCAGGTGAGTCCCACTGGGAACACCAGGAGGAGGGAACGCTTAGGTCGCCCCAAGTTCCAAGCTAAATGATCCCCTCCTTCTTTCCTGAAGGGCTCATCTTTGACCAACTTCTTCCCAGATGTGAGCTTTGACCAGCAGTCCATGAGGCCAGGCCCAGCCTTTACTCAGCAGGTGAGTGGTCGCCGGGGCCTGCCTCTTCCTCGGAGCAGGAACTGCCACAGTCAGGCCTCTTCCGTGCCTAGAGCCCACACCAAACAGACGCGGTACTGCACTTCTCTGACCTCAGGTGTGCTCAGCGGCTAGGAGAGCCTGGCACCGCCCCAAGCCCTAGAGGCTGGTGCTGGCTGCCTTAGTTAATTGTCAGGCCTCAGCAGAGGACCTGTTTGAACAAGTGGTAGAAGACTTGTGATGACACTCTAGCCATAGAATTGTAGAGTCATTGATGCTGGAAGGAACCGTAGCAATTCACAGATCTGTCTATCGTGTTGAGGAGACTCAGACCCAGGGAGGGGCTTCGCCTCGGCCTGAGTTGCTGTGCCCTGCACAGTGTGTGGCCTCCTGGGGGCTCGTCCTGGCTGGGGCAGTGGTCAATCCCGAAGGTACTTTCATTCAGGCTTTTTCTTTTGCTTTTTAGTTTCTCCCTAACACAGACCATTTTTTAATATCCCTAGATTTTATAATATTCAATAATTATGATTTGGGCTCCAGGATATATTATGGAGAGAAGGAAGAGCACTTTATAATGATAACAGTAAAATAAATAAAGACAGATGTTTCCTGAATAGGCCATGGGGAAGCCTCGTGGTAAGAACCAATAGTCCTTGCCTCCCCAATTTCTAAAGAAGCCATTTGAGTCTAGGTGAGTCAGTGTTTCTGAAAAAATGATGGAAACTCCTACTTTTGAAAGATTTTTTTAAATGGTTCAAAAATTAATTTCAGGAACGGCACCTAAAGTAGAGGCCCCGGAAACTGGGAACTTCATGGTGATCTGTACATATTGAAGTTTCTCTGGTACTCAAAGGTTATATAGTTAACAAATTTTCATTAACAAAAAAATTAAAATAAAATAAATAAATAAGTAAAGTAGGCCCCAGTTCTAACCCATCCTCATAGAGGCTTTCTCGCAGAGAGGGCTTGCCTGTGGTTCCTCCCTCTGAGTGAGAGAAGGAGAAGGTTCTGCTTTCTCGTTTTTCTAGAAACCAGAGAGGAAAAGAGCCCATCCCTTCCTTGGTTACAGACAGGACCTTTGAAGTGCTCCACAGGTGGTAGTTTCCAGAGGCCTTTGTGTGCTGAGCAGGGCAGGTGGCTGAGACCAGAGGGCCCGCAGAAACCATGGCCAGTGGTGTCTCCTGGGATGGCATAGAGGGCCAGGCTGTGTGCAAACAGGGACAGATGTGGCCCTCAGGGACCCCTCCTCTACCGCAGCATCCCGCTGCCTGAGCAGAATGTTCTGTGTAGGCTGTCACAGCAGCTGGGCACTCTGGGATCCTAGAGAGAAGGGACTGTAAGAGAGCATTCACGTCTGGTTTTGCTCCGGGAGCACACTGCACTGTTCTGTCCTTGGAAACAGAGACCATCCCTTACAACGTGACCTTTGTTGCTTCCAGGTGCCCCTGGTGCAACAATGTCCCCGAGAACCACAGGACTCCTTTCATTTGAGACCAAACCTGTATTCCAACTGCGGGAATTTCCCAAACACCATCCTGACAGGTGAGGGCTGCTTTTTTTATTTCACTGTGTTTCTACAGATACCACTGTAAGATAGTTTAGACAACATAACATTATATGAAGCAGAAAATGAAACTTTACCTTTCTGAGATGCAGGTGTCCAGCCCCAGAGACTGTGAGGCAGTGGGGAAGGGGCCTGGTGACCCAAGTCTTTTCCGAACTACTTAACTTCCCGTGATTGACAACTGTTCCAAGGGAGAAAACCTGCAAAACTGGGAGTTGTGGGACTGACTGAAAAGAACATAGATTCCAGAGCAAAACCGTAGGCCCAGGAGTGGTTGGGACAAAGGTGATGACTGTCCTGGTTGGGAAGATGACAGGAATGGCATTTTGGGGGTTGTCATCAGTTGTGTCCTCTTAGTGACCTGGGCCCTCACGCCTCCTAATCCGCATTGTTTTCCCCTCCCGCTGCCCTTTCCAGAAGACTCGAGCACCAGCCTGTTCAAAGACCTCGGCAGTGCTCTGGCAGGCATGCCTGAGGTCAACCTAAACGTGGACACTCCGTTTCCATTGGAAGAAGAGCTCCAGATCGAACCCCTGAGCCTGGACGGACTCAGCATGCTAAGTGATTCCAGCCTGGGCCTGCTCGACCCCTCTATTGAAGAGGCGCTTCGAGCTGACCGACTGTGAACAGAAGGGAACGGGGCGGGAGGGCTAGTTTCTGAGACACAACGGAATAGGACGGAGCCAGCTGCAGCCCTGGGCGTTAGTTATCGCGGGCTCTGACACGGAAGGAACCAATTCCTTGGCTCCCAGCTCTCAGACGAGGTCCCATCTCATACGCCGTGGCTCATTCTAGACCACAGAGCTGGGCGCCGCCCCTCAGGCCTGTGGCACAGGTCCTGTTGCTGCGGGCAGGCTGCTCTGGGGCTTCTGATGAATTGGTCGTCACCACAACCGTTACATCTTTTACTGGCCATCTAATCGGTCAATGTGTAAAAATATAGCGAGAGGCCTCAGTAGCCTTGTGTAGTGCTCAGAACCACTGATCTCAATCAGCACTGAAGAAAGGACCCGGAGTGGGGGGCGGTTAGGGGCCACAGGCCTTTGGAAGTTGGCTCAGCATCCAGCAACGGTACCACAGCCCCACGATGCCTTCTCTGATCCAGCCATGGTGCCTCAGCGGCGGCAGGATGTTCCAGGGCAGAGCGGAGGGCCAGGGCTCTCTCAGAGGCCTCAGTTCTAACATGAAGAAGGCTTTTTACCACAAGTCCAAGAACAGACTTGAGTTCAGCAAACTGAATTCTAATTTCCCCCCCCCCCCCAGTTTGTAATCTCTTTTCTGCTGCTTCAGAACCCCTTTTCCTATGGACAAGAGGAAAAGGAAGACTATTTTATTCAGTCACTGAAAAAAAAAAAAATCCCCTGGTAATAGATGAGCCTGAAGAGAACGGTGCTTGTTCTTAGAGGCTGGGGAAGAGAGAAAGGAGGCTGCAGGTATCTCAGAGACACACGAAGTCCTCCAGACAAGTTCCGGACCATACAGGCCTCCCTCTCTACAGACCAGCTGGAGGCAGTGGCTGGAGGTCTGGATTGGGCCCAGCCAGCAGCTGCACAGCAGCAAAGGGAAGCTGTTTCTCTGTGGAATGGGGGTGGTTCATATAACCCCACTAGACCGTAAGCTCCTTGAGGGCAGGGACTGTGCCTTAGTCATCATCGAACCCCTAGCACCTGACAAGTGCCTGGCGCTGGGCAGGTGCTGCAGAACCGTGCGTCGAATGCACACGTGGATGAGTGAATGAATGCACAAATGAATGAATCTGCTTTGCTGTGAGGCAGTCTAATCTTTCACTGTTCCTGTTCCTTACCAAATCTCCTCAGAGCTTCAGCTTTTCTAACACCTGTGCCTGTGGTTAAGTTAAGCATGTGCACTTTAATATGCTTTTAACACTAGGTGACCAAATCCACGGTTAGACTGCACGCCTGTTCTCCTCCAGGGTATGCAGGTAGGTGGAAACTGTCTTCTGAGCGCGTCCAGAATGGTTCAGCAAACTGAGGCCTCCCACCTGCCGGGCCCTCAGGGGTCCCGGCCACCTCAAAAGATCTTCCCTCTCAGACCCAGGTGTTGCTCTCAATTGTGTTAGGAAGAGATTCATTCTCTGAGGTTGAAGAAATAGTCTATAGTAAAATGAAGGTCTAATTTATGAAACCATCATTAGTCATCAGTTTCTTAGCACAAAACAGTATTACTATATTTCCACCACCACCTGCCCCCTCTGACTTAGTCCAGGCCAACCGTTGACCAGAAACCTGATGGGTGGGATTGGAAGCCGTCTGGGGAGGAGGGTGGGCAACGGGGCCGAATGCGGGCATGGGTAGACAGCACAGAGAGGACAGACACACTGAAGGAGGGATGAAGATGCCGGAGCCTTTGCCCAGACAGCCAGTGTCCTTCCAGGAGACACCAGGGGTGTTGCTGAAGGGTCCAGACTGCTCCCACCCAAAGAAGCAAGGCTGCACCTTGTGGGTCTGAATCTGACACGTGTGCCTGATGGCCGGAGGGGTCTGTCACCGCGTCCTGGGCTGTTAACCTCTCTAGACCTTGTCCCATTTCCTTCTGTCTTCAGGGGGATCCCTTCCCTCCAGTCTTTCCAGTAACCTTGATCGTGCACTGCTCCATCTTCACGGGGGAGCCCAAGTCTTCCCACCTCACGTTCACCCTGAACCCCTGCTACTGAATTAGGAAGTCAAACCAGAGTCCTCCCTGCCTGAGCTCTGGCTCAGGGAGTGGCAGTTGGCCTCCCCTTCGAAGCCATATTCCCAGTTAAACTTCCCGATCTCAGAGGGCAGTGACTTTTTGTTAAAGTAAAAGGGCCTTTCATCTTACACAGCACCCCAGTGTGCCAAAAGAAGCCAGATCCTGGCTGCCTTTCCTGTGTCAGAGACCCCCAAATCTGATCTGGCCTTTCAGACAGGGAGGAGTGCTGATGTTATCAGAGGTTTTTTTGAAAAATGGAGGTTCCAGGATAATCTGCTCTTTACACAGTGCCTTACCCACGGGGATCACTAGTGTCAGGGTCCCAACTCTCTTTGCACAGCAGCCCAGTCTTACAGCTGGAGACCCTGAGACCTACAGGACAAAGTGTGCTCCCCCTGGGCATTCGCCAGGAACTCGTGGAAATGGAGGCTCCTGGGAAAAGTGACTTGTTTGGGGTAGTATAATGATGACAGTGAGGTTTAGCACTGAATTAAATTTGTCCTGAGGTCCATCCATCCCATCTTTTCCTGTGAAAAGGTTTTGGGCATTATATAACCCACGTTGCTTACATGGTGTCAAGGACACCCATGGACAGGGGTCGCCCTGACCTTCTCACTGCTGCCTTTGCAACAAACCAGGCATGATCCTCGGCATCTGAAGTGGCTGCAGACTTCAGAGTAAACTATTTTTCAGTATTTAGTTTTTCACAAGAAATCGATGGTTGTACTACTCTCATTTACTAGCAGTTAAACAGCATAGCACTAAAAACCTATCTGTATTTTCTATTTTTCCCTTCTGTACGTTTGTGGTTTTCAGGACATACAGTGTCAGGAGAAAGTGATGATGTCAAGATCAACATGAATTCTCCATTGTCCTGTTTCATTTCTCCTAAGTCTACTGTATATTACCCGAGCTGAAATCTATATTCCAGTCCATTTGCATATTTGAAGACATTTCCAACTCCGCCTCTCATCGGCTCTTCTGATTCATGCACAGACGGTTCCGAGCGTGTGTCTTCCACTGCTTCGTGATGGAACCATCACAGCAACTAATCAGACTTCCCGCCAGTATCCTAGTTCCCAGGTCCCTTGTTAAACAATATTTAAAGATTGGAATTTGTATAAAGTAGCTTCTAAGTTTTATAATGCATCATTTTACATCTTTCGTAATTAAAAGCAGCACAATAAGGTTGTATGTGCATTTGGTGTTTTTCTTCAGCCTCGGGTGAGGTGAACTGGCGGAGAGCCCTCCTCGCTCAGCTCAGCCTGCAGTTAGAGATTTCTGGTCCGTGGCCCGCTTCTCACGTGTTCTTAATACTTGCTGTTGCGCCCAGTCCTGAGAGAAGTTCAGAAGGAAGTGGAGGCACACTGTTCCTTTGAAGCCGCGTGGACCCAGGACAGAGACATCATTGTAGGGGCTCAGGATTCTGCTCCCCCTGCTGGCGCCCCTTCCAGACCCTTCCGCCTGCCCTCCCCTAAAACCCCTCCCCTTCTGAGGTTCAGGCCACTGATGCTACTCTGCCTCATGTACCGGGTCTTTAGCCCTTTCTCCCATTTCACCAAAGACTTGGACTCTGTTTTCTACCCCCAGACCCCCTCCCCTCCCAGCAGGGCCCACAGCCCCGACCTATCCAACAGCAAACAGCCTCAGCTGCCTTCAGAGACCCACTTCCCCAGCCACATGCAGGGCTTGTCATAAAGGTGACTCTTCTGAAATCCTAGAAATCCCTTCTCTGACCCCAACTTCCTGAGCCACCATCTCTTCTCTGGTCCACACACACCCTGTTATTTGACCGCACCGAGGATTCTGTTCCTTGTCCCTCCTCTCAGTCTGCCTGTCCTCTCCTGTCCCTTCCTTCCCCAGCCTAGCCCACTGGGTCAGGGGCCTTCATGACACCGTCACCAGCCCTCCTCTGCTCTGATCCTGAAAGTTTCTCTGCCAGGAGTCCCGCCAGAACCAACCACCACACACTGTCCCTTAACCCCGTCCCACCACACACTGTCCCTTAACCCCGTCCCTCTCCTGGCGTCCAGGGGCACTCCAGACCTCTCCTATCCTCAAGGCCCTCATCAGGGCCCTGCTCTCCTCACGACCAGGAACTCCAATCCCTCAGGGGGCAGCTCCCTCTGCATCCCAGCTGCTCCCACCTGCTCCCCACTCCATTCTTTTTCCTGGTAAACTTGCCCAAATCTATACCCATCCTTCCCACCTTCCCCTCTGCCTTACCTGGTTCTCCTTTTTCATGTGGGATTGATCTGTGCTCCCTCCAAGGATTCCCTGCCCTCCGCCAGGCCTCCTTCTCATCCTCTCCAGTGGCTCTTTCCCCTCAGCCTGTAGATGGTCTCCTCCTTGCTAAAAACAAACAATGAAACAGCACTGTCCTCCAACCACAGCGCTGCCTCCCTCCCTCCCTTCCTGGAAGAGTCCCTCATGCTCAGCTCCCTTCTCAACTCCTCTGGCCTGTCCAGTCCCTCTCCTCCTTGGCCCTCCCCTGACATTTGAGCCCTGAGGCCTCTCCCTTTCCCCCCAGATCCTCTCTCCAGCTCTAGTAAATCCTTTTCCTCTTGTTCTCTCAGGGCATATCCATCTCCCATGTGTACCCTCCTCCCCTGCCATCTCTTCTCTCAGACCCACTGTCCCCAGGCCGTCACCTCCAAGCTGATGACCTCCCACATCCAGCCTCCTACCCCACGTGCCTATCAGCGCAGGCCCACCTGCACTCCACCCTGTGCGGCCCGCTGCACCATCCTTCACAGATCTGTGGACACCGGCAAGCGTTCATCATCACCTGGGACACCGGCCTTCCCCACGGGGCTCTCAACTCTGCGAGGACAGGGGCCGTGTCTTCTACCTGAATTCTACAGCCACGGTGCCTGGCATGTAGTAGGTGCTCAATACAGTAAGTCCCCTACATACGAGCGAGTTCCATTCCGAGAGCTCATTCTCAAGTCCAACAAAGTTAGCCTAGGTACACAACAAACACAATCAGCTATATCGTACTGTACTATAATAGGTTTATCATACTTTTCACACAAATAATACATAAAAAACAAAAACCAAAAATAGAACTTTAAAAAAAAATTTTATTTTTGGCTGCCTTGGGTCTTTGTTGCTGCGCGCGAGCTTTCTCTAGTTGCGGCGAGTGGGGGCTACTCTTCATTGCGGTGCACAGGGTGCACGGGCTTCTCACTGCCGTGGCTTCTCTTGTGGTGCACGGGCTCAGTAGTTGTGGTTCGCGGGCTCAGTCGTTGTGGCTCACAGGCTCTAGAGCGCAGGCTTAGTAGTTGTGGCGCATGGGCTTAGTTGCTCCGCGGCCTGTGGGGTCT